AGTGTGTGTGTGCATTTATTTTTATTTTTCTTCTGCCCCTTTTCTCTTTTTCTTCTCTTACAATATTCTTTGTGTATTAGTTGCACCTTAGTGTGTCTTCAAACTGATGCTTGACTCTAATGAGATTTCCATCTATTTTATTTAGAAGGAAAGTTGCCTGTGTCTCAAAAGTTTTCATCTCTTTTTTGTTTTTGGTTTTTTTGAGATAAGGTTTCACTATGTAGCGTCATTCAGGCTGGCCTCAAACTCATAGGGATCCTCCTGCCTCAGGCTCTGGAGTGCTGAGATTACAGATGTGCACCATCAGAGTTGGCCTTTATCTCCTGTATTATAGGCTTCTTTTCTTTAGATTGTCTCTTCTCTTGAGAAGAGTACATAGACGTTAAAATTAATAGCATTCATTCAAGAGAGGGATGGGGATATAGTGTGGCAGTCTAAGCACCTGAGTGGCAAGTGCGAGGCCCTGAGTTTGATCCCTAGTACTACCTGCCGAGCCCTGAAACCAGGTGTGGTTACACCCCTATAATCTCAGCACTGAGGAGGCTGAGACAGGAGGATCACTGCAAGTCCGAGCTGCATAGCGAGTCCAAGCTGCATAGCAAGGCCCTGTATCAAATAAATACATTTTTTTTAAAAAAAAAATCCATTTATTCAAGAGAAAACATATTTGGGAGCATTAAATGTGCTTATGAAAAGGAAATCTTATTTCAGAAAATCCAATTAGATTTTATATCACTTTATAGTAACATTTTTGTCATTATTCTTGAGATCTTTCAAGGCTTAGATTATAGGAGACAAAATAAAATGTATTGCAGAAGTAAGAAACAGTAAACAAATTTGACTGAATGGCTCAGTAACATCAAGTGAGTATGATTGTATTTATTGTTTTAAATAATAATTTGCAATCTAATGCTTTTGTGTGCTTCCATATTTGCTTTCTTAGAACATATTTTAAGAGGACTCATTTTACTTCATGATGATGTTTACTTTTTGTACTTAATACTTGAAACCAAATTAGCATTTCACGTGTGTGGTTGATGCTCATTGATCATAGGTTAATTGTGAATTCATCTGCTTAATAACATTGATCTGTAACCCTAGAATCAGTATTCATAGTGCTTTTATGGTGCATACAGACAGGTGCAGAGCAACAAAGAAACGTTAGCTACCCAGCATGCACTTTCCGCCCGGGGTGAAGCAGGTTGTCGTCTTGGGTCACACAGTAAATGCGTGTTCCTTTTCCATCTCCTGTAGTGCCACATTTTTCACCTTTTGTGTTTTTGGGCGATTGCTATTTAAAATGGCTGAAGTGCCGTCTGTCTCTATGCCAGGGAGTGTGTGTTTCCTTCCCTGAGGAGGAAACGTTTGTGCTAGGCAAGCTTTTTTAGGCCTGTGGTGCTGTTGGGCATGAATTCCATGTTACTGAATTAATAATATATTAATAAGATGTCTTTAGAAACACATGAAGCAAGGTGATGTCTTGATCAGTTGATGAAAATGTAGCCCAGGATTCCCAGCAACCTAATCCTGCATTTCCCGTGACGTAGCGTGGGTCAGTATTTGCTAATTCAGTCTCCGTAGTGACAGTGTGACCAGGGGAGATAGCTCAGTGGCAGAGCTCTTGCTGAGCATGTGCAGAATGAAGACATCGTAGAATGTAACTAGTGTCTGCAGTGAGAGTCGGCTGTATGACAAAGTAGAATAAATGTTGGGGAGGACAACCAAGCAGGCAGGCTGTTGCTTCTTCAGTGTCGCTGTCGCTGGGGCTCCAGAGCCCATTGCAGAGTGGTGCAGCAAGAGGAGAGTAAGCCCCGGCCTGAGGGAATTGCCTTTTCCCAGTCCTGTTCGTCTTAGGGCCACTGCTGCCTGTGACCATTGTTGCAGGAACATACTATGTAAAGCCGTAGTTGCGCTTTACTATTGAGAATACTGTCAACACTTTAAAAGTATTTTGTGAGACTTTTTCAGAGTGAAACTGACAATGTAATTTTAATATATATGAAAAGATATACAGAGCTGTATTATAAAATGCTTTTTATAAAATATTTTTACAAACTTAATTTTTTTTTCCATTTATACAGGGGTAACACACTGTATTAAATATGTAAGGTCTTATCTACGTGGGTTTGATTACAGAAACTAATAAAGTATTCTCTAAATAATAAAAATAAAATAAAATATTTTTACATACTGAATAAATTTATCCTTTCTTTCAGAGTTAATGATGAAGATGTCAGATTAATGTTATGGGATACCGCAGGTCAAGAGGAATTTGATGCTATAACAAAGGCCTATTACCGAGGTAAAACGTGGGACTTTATGTGGTTAGTTTAAAAATTATATGGGCTTTCTTTTGGCTAGAGAAAGAATGTACTTTCTTTGTTTACCATGTAAGGATTTCTTTTCAAAAATTAAAATAAGGCCACAGTTCTTGCTCAGCAGTTGAGCGCTTGCCTAACATCCTCCATGAGGCCTAGCCTTGGTTTGATCCTCAGCACCACAACAAAACTAGATTTAAAAAGTAACTGAAATAATTTCAGTTTTTTTTAACCCCAACTCATTAGGGAATGACACTTTGTACTGTAGGCATTTTGTGTGTCTTAAAATTATATGACTTATATGGAAGTTTGTTGTCAGTGTGGAAACTCAGATGAGAAAAGGCCTGCGCTCTGCCTCTGCAGCCCCGCCCAAGGTTGCTGCTTAGAGAGTCGGCCCTTTATCCGTTTTTTCTTCTTCTCTCTAAAATCTAATCCTCTGTATAAAGCTTCCCACTCTCTGATCACTGGTTCCCACTGGCTAGCCCTACTAGCCGTGCTCGTTTCCCTGTCCTTGGTAACTCTCCCTGCCGCTTTTACCAGGACTTCTGCATTGCTTTCCTTCTTTTGATCCTTAGCCTGCTTTTTCTAGTCCTGTGAACTTTTGCTTGCCAGCCTCTGTAACTCTGCCCTGTGTTCCCTGCCTAGTGCTTGCTGTGCAGAATGTCCAGCCCAGTTAAGCCCCGCTCTCTTCAGGGTGCATCGAGCACCTGAGCCTTATTAGAGAACATCAGATAGAACCACTGCGATTGAGCTGTGAGGTTGCGATCGCATCGCCTTCGTGAGTCCGCGTGCTGCCAGGCACTTCCGACGCTGGTTTATTTCAGCCTCCATCATTTTCCAGAGGAACTGTTTCGTGCTCTCTCTTGCCCTAGCCTTTAGGGTCCCTAATTCTTCTCCACTCTCTGCAGACTTCCTTGCTTTATTTTTCTTTGAAAAATTAATGCAATTTTAAAAAATTATTTTATGCTTCACACCGTTGATTCAGTTCCTTAGAGTTTTAAGTGACTTTCTGCGGTCTGTGTCACAGCCTCAGGTGCCTGGGCTGTGTGCACTCCCCTCGGCCCCTGCTGATTGCCCTCGCACTTCATTCTTGAGCTGTCTGCAGATTCGTGTTTGCTCTTTCCACTGAGCCTGGAATGCTTTCTTGTGCCATATGCCCTTCTGCCTAACAGCTCTGTGACCCCAATCAACGAAAAAATGTACTTTTTGAGCTTCTTTTGTAAGTTTGTGTTCTGTTTGTGCATTTACTTGAGTTACTTGAGATTCTGCCTAATGGAGTTAGAGTGCTTTTCTGTTTGTTTTCTTTTTTGGTCTTTGTCTCCCCAGTCCCATTCATTGCCTGGCACCTGTTGTTGGCTCAGGTGAATTCAGTAGGCTTTAGGAGGCTGTATCATTTGGGTTAGGTTTTTATTTTTTGTTCTGTTTTGTTTTCCATTACTAGTGATTGAACTCAAGGCCTTTACACTGAGCTACATTCCTAGCCCTTTTCTCTTTTAGGGTTTTTGTTTTTGTATTTTTGGGAGGGGAGTTTGGCGGTACCAGGGATCGAACTCAGGACATTGCACTTGCCAGGCAGGTGCTTATGCCACTGAGCTATATTCTCAGCCCTATTTTTTAGTTTTGAGAAAAGGTATTTTTTTGTATATTGTCCATGTTCAGCTGAAATTTGAGCTCTTGCTTCAGCCTCGAGTTCTGAATTACAAAGTCTGCCACCATGCCCTGTTACTTGGGTTGATTTTACCTTCATAAGTAGCATGATAGTAGTTGAATACTAAATAGTCCTACAGACTTGGAAATCAGCAATGGTTTGTTCAAAGGCTCTTAAATTATCCTGCCTTGGCTTTGATGAAACTGAAATCTGAAGGTTTACCTTTGAAATGTTACTTTATGCAATTTGGAAGGGTCCTGGATTATCTCAGGAGCAACACTTACAAATATTAAAACAGCAGTGTGACAGTGTACCTCTCTTAACAGTGTCTGTGTAAATAAAATTTTCCTTTAATAGTGTTAATGGCCTTTATTTTTTACGGTATTGGGGATTGAACTCAGGACCCTGTGCTTGCCAGGCAGGTAGGTGCTTATTCTACTGAGCCATCTCTCAAGCCCACTGGCCTTTTTTCATGAGTGTGTGAACTTCTGCTTCTGATAGGCTTAAACACTGATTTTACTGATGTGGCTTGCTATTGTATTTTTAGATTTATACTGATTATTTAAAATAGATCTACTTGAAAAATAGGATATAGGGGGCTGGGGCGATAGCTCAGTAGAATAAGTGCTTGCCTGGCAAGCACAAGGTCCTGAGTTTGATCCCGGGTACTAATTATAGGGGAATGAAACTCCCAACCTGAAAGGTACCTGGGACGAGTTCGTGTTCTTGAAAACCAAAGAATGAATTTTAGGAACAAATGGAGGTTAAGAGCAGAATATATTTATTGGGAAAGTTCCTGTTGGAGAGAGGTACAGAAGGGGGCCTCAAGCAGGTTGTTCCTGGAAGTGGTCTCTTCCAGAGACTATTATAGAATAAAACCATGTGGTCTTAGGCGGAAATCATGGGAACTTGCTTAGGTGGTCATGAGCTGGGACAAAACTATGTCAACCAATGAGATTACAAGCACCATTGCTCAGGTAACATTGATTAAATCCAGAACCAAATGAGGAGTCGAGTCATGTAGCAAGCGGGCATGAATATAGAACAGGAGTTTATCCAGTAGCCAGCTGGTAGCAGTTGGATTAGTGACTCTTCCCGGCTTCCTCAAGGTGGTGATCAATCCCAGATGCTCGTCTTTAGGGAGACCAGCATTTGTTCAGTCTTCGGTCTCTAGGTCTGACCCATGCAGGAGCATCCACCTCTCACAGTTGCAGCGTATCTTGTCTTCCGGGATGTCTCCTTGAGGGCCTGGCCCTGTCTGACTGCCTATAATATTTCTATCAGTTTTAGCTGCCTACAACAATACCACCAGAAAAGAAGAAGAAAAAGAAAAATAGGATGAATTTGAGAATCTCTGGAACATACATTATTTTTCTACTTTTAAAAATGTATAGAAATAACTAATTGCTAACATAAAGTGGACCAAGAAGTTGCTTTTCTCAGCTGGTTCTAAGGGAGCTTGACTCCCACTGCCTGCTCGGAGAAACCTTTTGTTTTCATGAGAATTCAGAGTGCTGAAGCCACCACTGTCCTGCCTGCTGCTGGCTGTGGCCTCTGGGCCTCCTGTCCATAGCAGCTTTGCCTACCCTTCTCTTGGCCAGCTGGGAGCAGGGGATAAGGCTGGGAATTGGGAATCCTCCTCTGTGCTCTTGGGCAGGTGACGCTTTCATTGACATTTTGATAAACAGGTCTTAAAGTATAAATATTATGAGGTTTTCATAATCCGTCCTCCTCTTCCTTCCAATTTTCATTTGCTCTCTACAGTGATGGAGATTGACCCCAAAACCGTACACAGTCTAAACCAACATCCACCACTGAGCTACACTGTAAACCCCATTTCTGTATTTTATTTGCACACAAATTCATTTTTTACATTGACCAGTTTTATCTTTTATAATTAAACATTTTGTTTTGAAATAACTATATAGTCATAGTTTTGCTTTCTTAAAAAAATTTTTTTTAATCTTTTATTTATTTGGTACAGAGTCTCACTGCACAGAATGGACTTATAGTGATCCTCCTGTCTCAGCCTCCTCAGTGCTGGGATTATAGGTGTGCACCACCACATCTGGTTTCAGTGGCTGGCATGGCACACTGGGGGTCCAGGGACTGGCATGGCCAGGGATTGAACCCAGGTCTTTGTGCTTACCAGGCAGGTGCTTAGACCACCAAGCTATCTCCCCAGCCCTTGCCTTTTAAATATATAGGTACATTATCAATATATGAAATATATAAATATTAAATGCAAAAAAGTTAATATACCAATTAAAAAAGGATACTATCATATGAAATTGCAAAATGCTTAAAAAGATATTTCCCAGCCTATCTCTTCCCTCAGAAAAAGAACACACCTCAGGCCGGGGAGATAGCTTAGTAAAATAAGTGCTTGCCTGGCAAACACAGGGTCCTGAGTTCAATCCCAGGTACTAGAAAAAAATTAAAAAGAGCATCTCATACCGAGAATTTAGAGAATTGAAACCATCTAGTTAAGTAGGTTGAGTGCCTAAATTTAAAGAAAGACCAGATGGCTATAAAACTATTTTCGTTTCCCACTGTAGTTTAGGTCTTGTTAATGCTTAATGATAGTAATTTTTACCTAAAGACACTTCATCTTGTGTCCAAGATTATTATTTAGCTACACTTGTCCAGTTTGTGTACTTAATATAACTTAGTACTTCTTAGGTTTCCAGAAATCAAACTATGAGAGTTCCATGATTGCAGTATTTACATCTGAATTTACTTTGGAAGATCCTTGAGTTCTCCACTATTTCATTTTGAATAAAAAGGCCTTGGTCAGACATGTTAGCTCAGACCCGTAGTCCCAGCACTTAGGAGATATAGGCAGGAGGATCACAAGTTCAAGGCCAGTCTGGGCTGTTTAGCAAGACTGCCCCGCAGTAAATTTTAAAAAAGGGTGGAGGGGCAGAGCAGTTGCCTATCATGCGTGAGCCACTGGGGTCAATCCTTAGTACCACCACCACAATAAACTGCAAGAGGCTTTAACTGTCTTTGCTTTCCCTGTATCTAATACAGTAATTTATAGTGTTGTCAAGCTGATGAGTTAACGCTTATCTTCAGGATGTGACTTACTTTTTAACATTCTCTCATGGGCCTGGTGTAGGCAGTTTGAACCATCAGTGGTACATGCTTGACCATCAGGTGGCTTTTTATCCATTTTATTAGTAAAAGAACAGTAAAAATGATTAGATCTATTTGTACCACCAGTGGTACAAGCCGCCCCCATTGGGACTCTCACCCACGTCACTGGCACTGCAAGCCAGCAGCAACATGCTAATTAAAATGGCAGAGAGGGTGGAAGACTGAAGTAGATCTTTA